GTTCCTTAACACCTTCAGGGCTGGTGACTCCATCACCTCCTTGGGCAGCCCGTTCCAGTGCCTGACCACTCTTTTGGAGAAGTATTTCCTAATATCCAACTTCAATCTATTAGTTTTCTCAAGAATTTTTAGTCACCTAGAACTTTTAGTCACAGCAATCCTCTGCAGATTGAGTTGATTTCTAAATAATTAATGCATGGTAAAATAATCATGATCTAGACTTGGAACACACATAAAAGCGTGAGGTACTCAGTCCTTGGAGGAAGGTGGTGATGGTGGAGATGTCCCTGACCGCTGGGGGATCATGGGGTTTTGCCATCAAGCAGCAGCTGCTTGATTATATGGTAGTATCTTGTGTGCCATTATGCTTCTGTGTTCCATGGTACCACCATGTGTACAACCTGAGTGACCCAGTGCCTGGACTTTCATAGTGCTGGTGGGCAAACCTTCTTATCACAATGACAACAGGAGGCTTTCCTGTCCTATAGCAGGTGTCACCACATCCTGGTGACGGTGCTGATGGGCAAATGTTCCTTTCACAATGCTGAAAAAGTGGGGAGAGAAGGGAAAGAAAGGGAGTGGTAAATGTGATTACCCTGCTTACAAATAACAGCCATTCACCATATAAAATTCTGTTGGTTCTGATAGCTATATTACAAGATGTCAGTTGCTGTGGGTACCTGCCACAGAGACCTAGATATGTGCAAAAACAGTATGCAAATTCTGCTATGATGTGACTAGACTTGCCTTTTCTGTTGAGGACTGCACTTTCAGACATCCTTGCTTTGGTGACCTCCATTTTGTGACACTCACAGCTGAAGGCAAATGTTTGCTTTTCCCTTGTTTGCAGCTCCAGTAGCATCGTCTTCTAAACTACAACATACTTCTGCTTAAGCCCACCCTTTTTCTGTGTCCTGTCACTATGATGACACTGTCCTGTCACTATCTCACCTACAGACCCACTGAGCTGGGTCAACTTTTCCCTAACTGAAGCAGCTAGAAGTGAAAAGGACTGCATTGCCCTAGTTGTATTTTGCAGGGAGCTCATGCTCAGAGAGGAACTGGGCTCCTCTCTGGGAGGCGACAAATGTTAATCTCTGGATGGGGGACAAATGTTCATCTCTGCACTTCTACTGCACGAAGGGTGTTGGTGGTGTAGACTCAGAATAAAGATACTCTCACCTTGAATTCCTCCAAAGCAATTCTTTTATGTGGTTGCCTCAGTAGAATGAAATTGTTATGAAATTGCCAGCACACCCACCCAGACATAAGCCAGACACTATTTGTGTTTAGAAACAAATTTTCCCTATGGGTACATTATTCATAGCCTGTCACTTGCCAGTTTTCCCTAGGAAGGTATAAACTAAACATTGGAAGTAAAGGCAATACACAGTTGGGTCTTTTTTTTTTTTTTTTTTTTTTTTTTTTTTTTTTTTTTTT